CGACTGGGTTTGATTCCTGCTCGGTTCTGAGATAACCTCTCTCAGTCAGTGAACATACTATCAGCCAGCTCCCTGCTCTACAGCCCAAATGACCCTGAAACGCTCTGCCGCCCATCCTCTCCTGATACTGTCATTGTCTACTCTATTCCGTAGTGTCTGGGCGAGCATGTGAAGCTCTACCGCTGAATGAGGTCAGCCAGACAGATGTGGTCTTGACACATTACCGCTGGTTAGCATAGACAACCTTTCAGACCCCTACTGCTATTCATTCATTGCCCACAGTGTGATAAGTTAGTTATATCAGCTGTTGCTGCCCTAACTCGCCATGTTTTACACTCCTACTGTATATGTGTGTATAACAAAAACAAAAAAAAACATCCATTCTCTAAACCGCTTGTCCTACGTAAGGGTCTTCAGTGTCTTTTTGAGGAAGACAAAAACAAACAGAACAAAATAAAACAAAACATTCATTCTCCAAACCGTTTGTCCTATGTAGGGTCTTTAGTGTCTTGGGCAGAGAAACAAAACAAAACAAAACAAAACAAAACAAAACAAAACAAAACAAAACAAAACATTCATTCTCCAAACCGTTTGTCCTATGTAGGGTCTTTAGTGTCTTGGGCCGAGGAACAAAACAAAACAAATCAAAACAAAACAAAACAAAACAAAACAAAACAAAAACAAAACAAAACAAAACAAAACCGCTTGTCCTATGTAAGGGTCTTCAGTGTCTTTTTGAGGAAGACAAAAACAAACAGAACAAAATAAAACAAAACATTCATTCTCCAAACCGTTTGTCCTATGTAGGGTCTTTAGTGTCTTGGGCAGAGGAACAAAACAAAACAAAACAAAACAAAACAAAACATTCATTCTCCAAACCGTTTGTCCTATGTAGGGTCTTTAGTGTCTTGGGCCGAGGAACAAAACAAAACAAAACAAAACAAAACAAAACAAAACAAGACCGCTTGTCCTATGTAAGGGTCTTCAGTGTCTTTTTGAGGAAGACAAAAACAAACAGAACAGAATAAAAAAACAAAACATTCATTCTTCGAACCGTTTGTCCTATGTAGGGTCTTTAGTGTCTTGGGCCGAGGAACAAAAAAAAAAAAAAAAAAAAAAAAAACATCCATTCTCCAAAACGCTTGTCCTATGCAGGGTCTTTAGTGGCTTGGGCAGAGGGACAAAACAAAACAATTCTCCAAACCGCTTGTGTTGGGTCTTTAGCGTCTCGAGCAGCAAAGCAAATCAAAGCAAATCAAAACTAAGCAATAATAAGCAAAAAAAAAACAAAAAAAACATCTATTCTCCAAACCGCTTGTGTTGTGTCTTTAGCGTCTCGAGCCGCAAAAACAAAACAAAACAAAACAAAAAACAAATAAAACTTCTAACAAATCCAACTAAGTACTGGGCTGATTGTTTTTTTTTTTTAAACACACAATAATATTGTAATTCATTTGTAATAATATATAATATTATATAATATTGAAAACATATATATTTTTTTTTATGCAATAGTTTCACAGCCTAAACTAAACACACTTGGATTGTAACAGTTATGTATTCCACCCCTTAAGGGGAGACTCCCCATATATCAGCATGAATCTTCCCCAGTTGATTACTGACATTAAGACAAATATCTTTTGTATTACAAGTTTTTAGAATATTTGTTTAAATATGCAAATGAGGTATTATCTCATTAAATATGCGCCAATTTGCATATATTTCCAGAAGAGAAATCTGAACATTGGATAAAGCCAGATTCAAAATTCTTGTTTCATTTTGTTGATATATTAGAGTCACAGGTTTTTACAGAGGGGATTTTGGATACCTCTTTTTATCACTCCATTAATCAGAAAAAAACTGTCAACAGCCATAAAAAATTTATTTTCGCCCCGTTTTTAGGTATAAAATGTTGTATAAATCAGAATCTGAATGATATATGAACAAACCCCTCTGTAAAAACCTTAAGAATATATAGGAATACAACTGTAAAGTTTGGTGTATGTAAGTGCTGCTGAAGTGGAGATATCTGGCTCTGAGAAATTTTCTCTGAGTATGAGAAAAAAAAAAACATTTTGAGAAAACGGCCTTTAAAGAATTGACATCAGCCAATGAGATTTCGCGTTTAGAGTTAAATGCCCCATTGTACTTTCATGATTGGTTTTTGATAAAATAGGAAATGACCATATTTGGATCCGACAACATTGTACAGCAGAGAGAGAGCTTTCCAATGGTATACTTGATGACTGGGTGCAGACAGCGATCGAGGAGCAGCATGTTGATTTAGAACGCCAACTTTTGTTGAATTTAGGAGAAATCTACAGACGCAAATTGACAAAGTGTAGTAAAATAAGGACTTAAATGTGTATTTTGGACTTTTTTTCACCACGAGTCTGAAAGAAGACATGTTATTGAAGACAAATAGCCCAAAATCTCAAAATTGACCAGTGAAAAGAAAACGATGTTTTTGCCTGCCGTGTCTCCCCTTAAGGAATGAATGCACAAAACAATGCTGGGCACTGCACCAAAAAATACAGCACCATTACTCACAAAACATCATAAATTGCGTCTATATTTCTGCCCTAAAACAATTTAAGGACTTGCAGACACAATCAACTGCTCTATGTATGTACGGTACATTGACAGCACCATTTAGCTGACTTCATTCACTCAATGCATTCAGAGCACCTGCATCGGGTTCACTTGTGTCTGTGGCATTTCGGTCATATTATACCCAAAGAAAAATGATGTTTCGGACTATTGATGCGACATTTAGAGTCAGCTGCCACTGAAATGCTCTGGACTGAGGCTATTACCAAGAGGGCCTCACCAGTCAGCTCTGAAAGCATCATGTTTCTGGAGCTTTAAAGAACCCTTCACATTGAATTAGGCCAGGTATGGTATGCGCCAGACCGTGGCAGGCCTGTTTTCCAGAAGGAACATACTTACTTCTTCTGTATTTCATTTTTTTTCCCTTTAGTTGACCTCTGACCTTAGCTGTGACTTTGTCGTGCTGGATGCAGCTTTTTTTCACGAATGCTACTAGGGAGCAAGCAACTGTATTTATTTTTCTTCTACAACTATGACAGTAAAAATATTAATCTCTATGCCACCAAGTATGAGTTATAACTAATGACTGAGGCAAAAAAACAGCTAGAAACAGCTGTGGGACGATATTAAATAACAGAAATATGAAAATTAGCTAGCAGTTTGAGTTGAATATAATACATGCCTGTTCTGTGACATGCAAATATAAACGATGGAAACCATTAAGTATAAGAATATGAGCTGAGGAGAATATTTTTTTTATTAACTTCCATATTCCTATTTTAATGAAAAAGTAAACTCTAACAGCGCATCTTTGTCTTTTTGTCCATTATATTGCCACTCAAAAACAACATCATACGCCGCATAAAAGCTAAATTGAATCATTTGTGGAGAGCTTGGTGTGCCTTACAACTTGATTATGTAAACACATCATATCCAGATGATTAGTCAATAGAAAGCAGTGCTTGACATGGATGTGTTTTGAATCACAGATCTGTCATTTTTGGATATGAAGTAATAAATGAGGAGAAAAACATTCAGGTAGATATAGTTCTGATTTGTTTTCTAATCTTTAGAACTGACTGTCTGCACTGTCATTTCACAAGTAATGAAATCAGATTGGTTTGTTCAGACAGTGTAGTCAATATCCGTTACAGTACATGGTTTGTAATGGCTGCTGCATTTTGTAATGTATGACGCTTATATGACATAGGGCATATAAAGAACTACTTGAAATCCGAGCTGAAAGTCCAGGCTGAAAAATACAAGAATCTGATTCCAAACCATACATGCCGTTATTTTCTAAACTCTAAAAGATAAATGTTTTCTATTTTAATATATTTTTAAATGTAATTTATTCCTGTGATTTCAAAAGCTGAATTTTCAGCATCATCCCTCCAGTCTTCAGTGTCACATGATCCTTCAGAAATCATTCTAAAATGCAGTTTTGCTGCTCAAGAAACATTATTATCAATGTTGAAAATGGTGATACTTTATATTTTTGTGGAAACCGTGATACTTTTTTTTCCAGGGTTAATTAATGAATAATAAAAAAAAGATAGGCCTACAGATTAAATGATAAATTTTCATTATTGTTGAAATATTTGCATTACTGCTGAATAAATAATTTTAAATACTCACCCAATGTTTTTGCTGTTCATACTATAAACAACATTTGAGTCAAATATGTCACAAAAAAAAAAAAAAAAAAAATTGCTGTTTGCCTGGATAAAACCTAAATGTCTCAAAGAATGCTGATAAAGATTCCTCTCTCAGAGTCTCATCAAGTTACGGCATGACAGCTGCCAACATCAACATCTCTACTGCTTTTTCATTTTAGGTGTGAAATTCCATATCTAGTAAAATGTTAAAGGGGCAGTTCACCCAAATATGAAAATAAAGTAATCTCATTCCAAACCCACATGAGTTTCTTTCCTCCACAGATCACATAAGGCAATATTTAGAAGAATATCCAAGTTGATATTTTCCATACATTGACTAAGGCACCATAAAAGTTATCCCTACAATGAACTATATTTCATGTCTTTTGAAACCATTTGAAAGCTTTGTTTGAGGAAAAGTCCTAAATGTAAATTATTCACACTGGTAATCTCCGCTGCAGCTCTCAAATCTAATTCACACTTCTGTATATATTCAAAACATGAGCCTATAGACTTTCTATAAATAACTACACATCTAAATTTCAGTTTGCTTGGCTTCAGAAGACTATTTAGTGCACAAGTCAAAAGAACTGCTTTAAAGATACCTTTATTTTGCTTTATGGTGCTTGACATTCTGTGTTCACTCTTCATAAAAGAGCAGTGCGTAACATCTTCTCTTGTGTTCAAAGGAAGAAAGAAAATCATATTTTTGCAGGCTTGTGAGTAAATGATGACAGAATTGTGGCTGCATTATTCCTTGAACTCCTCCCTGCTGTGTGATTTGAAGTGTACCTCTATCTGAGAAGCGTAGAAAGGCTGGAGATGCTCATGAAGGCTCCACTGGCAGCTTTACTTCGGAGTATAGCTGTAGACTCGGGCTGCTACATGTGGACAGGCCGGCAGAGAGCAGAGACTCGAGGCATTGGCCCGGGAACATGAGAGTATCTGCCGCTCAGAGCCACGACTGACAGCGTTGCCGATTTTGGAGCTCCATCCACCTGTGAAAGGAGAAAGGGAGGAGGGACATTTACACGAGACACAAAGCATGTCTGTCTGGATTTTTCGCCTCCCGGGACAAGAAGGCCAATGCATTTCCAGGACAAAAACAAGAGCTAGACACCCCCCTTTTTTTTCAACTCAGAAAACAAATGGAACGAAAAGAAAATGGAATGCGGCAAGAGCGAGGACATTAATAACGACCCAGAAGTGTCACGCTGTTTGAACGTTCCTACCATCACTCTTGATAATAGCTGCCATACGCAATATATTTAGCTCCATTCTCTTTGAAAACAAATCCTTGTTATTATTTCAAGTGTTTCTTTTACAGTTGTCTGCCTCTTGCATTGCTGGTGGTTGTATCTGTCCCACTGGACAGTTGGCACAATTACAGTTTGTTCTGTTTTATTCTCTAAATTCATGCCACTGCACAAACAAATGCTGCATAAACCAGCACTTTTTATTTTCTCTCTGTCGATTGCACCATTTTAATTACTTCTTTCAGGGTGAACTGACTGTAGGTGTAATTTAAAATGTCCACTATGAGCTTGTGTTTGTTGAGTAAATCTCACAAAATCACAAAAATATGAGTCATATTTTAGGCCCATTAGCATTGTGACACGGTTTTCATGATCATTCTGATTAATCTGATGACTCCAATTGAACTACATTATGCAATAGCTGACTGATGGTCATGAAAATAATGCCACAATGCAAATAAAAGATAATAAAAGATTTTTGTGAGATTCTGTTAGTTGAAGTGTGTATCAAAACCCCTTTCCCCACACACCCCATTTTGGCAAGTAGGGCATCAATAGCTATGTTTCCATCCACACGTTTTTATCCGCATTAAGTGATATCGAATGAAAAATGCCTTATGGAAACAGTAACATTCGATTGAATTTCATGAATATCGACTCAAATGAAATACGATCGGTCTCATCGGATTTTATCTTGATCGATATACGGCTTATGCGATAAATGCGGATGGAAACGTTATTATGGTGCGATCCATTTTGCCTAGTAAAACTTTGTTCGCAAATGTTGGCTTGAATGTTGTGCAATTCGGTGAGAAAATGAATGGAAACACCTTAACATGTCTCAAATCAATTCGATATACCAATTTGATCGCAAAACAGCATGTGACGTCATTACGCACAGGTTTTTATCCGCTTTAAAGCCGTTTGATGGAAACACACTTTCACCAGCTTTATTCGCATGAGGTTTTTTACCGAACTTCAGATAATTCGATTGACAAGTGGATGGAAACATGGCTTATGACTACCCCAAATAAAAAAAAGTTTAAAGCTCATAAGTCATTCTGAATAGACACATAACCACATATATATATATATATATATAAAACATTTTTTTTAGAAAGTCAACACTTGAGAGTTTACAGTTTAAGACTTAGAATTACTCAGACTGTTATTACTATGGAGATATATGAGCTCAAACATAAAAAAAACAACAAAAAAAAACAATAATGATATTAAGAATATCTTTTCAACATGAAATTTGTTTATGAAATATTTCAGTGTTCATTATAAATGATTTATGCACTGTGCACCTGCACATTCTTTTATTAATGTGTTCTTGTAATCTTTAAACCAAAAAAGTTTCCATCATGACAACTCTCGGAGTGTTTGGCATGGTAATGGATATGACGATGTTAATATGTTTGGTCTTGGCGGAACGGATCTGCTACACTGCTGATGTTGGTCATTGCTGACTTGCTACTGCCAATACATACACGACACGCTGCTGTGAGCAAGTAAGACATGCTGCTGCTGTACAATAGCAAACATGAATTACCCGTAACAGATCTATACAGGTGGAGCTGGGGAAGGTGGAGGGTTTCTGAAAGCGCACTGCAAACTGCTTCAGCAAATGCTGACCAAGTATTTGAAGGTTGAGCAACGAGCTCATTGGCTACTGATACAGCAGGAACCAATCAGCTGTGTTCTATAATAGAGAATGATGTGATTGCAGTTAAGGACCAATTAGTCTGCGATAACTGGAGTTTCATTACAGAACTTTGTATTAACTTCCACTCTCTTCCTGTCGACTTGAAGCTGTCAGGTGCTTCCAAATGGTTTCAAAATGTGGAGTTTTGTCAAAATGCTGTTTGGTCTGGAAGCAACAATAAATATATAAAACAAAAACAGTCGTTGAGGCTGTTTGCTATTGTATATACAATTCCTCTCTTACCCCCCAACCACCCCCTTCTCAGAGAACACCCCCAGAGAGAGAGAGAGCATCTCTCTCTCTCTCTCTCTCTCTCTCTCTCTCTCTCTCTCTCTCTCTCTCTCTCTCTCTCTCTCTCTCTCTCTCTCTCTCTCTCTCTCTCTCTCTCTCTCTCTCTCTCTCTCTCCTAATCTCGTTTACTCTCCCTGATGATTTCTTAACTCCACGTACCTAATTAGAACTTCTTAATTGGACGTTTTTTTTGTCCCTTACTTTGACGAAAGCCAAGCCAAAAAATCCTCTTACTCAGATATCTTCTGATTTTGTGCAGATTTTGCAGATTTTTTTTCCTGCATAACTATTTCTATTACTGAACGTTTCTTCAACTATGGGCAGTTTTGGCCTTGTGGACAAAATGTTATCTTAAAACACACTTTCTTGCTCTCACTAGCTTATTTAACGTCCACTGAACAAACAGTCAGAGGGGAATTCTGTCTTTTTTTCCCCTGAACATACAAATGTGATTTCCCTCATGTCAAACGATGTATTGTATTGGCCAAATGTTGTATTGGACTACTTTCACATGTTCTAAACTTTCTTCTCAAGGTCTTCATCAAAAAAAAAGTTTGTTGTGGTGGACAGGATGCCAATAAATGTATATGTTTTTTAACACACACACACACACACACACAGTTAAAACGGTGTAGTGTAAGCGGCCCCTAAGTTAATAACTAATGATTTTTACAACGGAAGTGAATTAATCAAAAACTTACTTTAGCTGGACAATAACTTTATTCAAGAGCTGCTGTAAATCCAAAACAATCTCCGTTTCCATTAATTTCCTGTTATCACCGTAAAGCTGCTTTGAAAAAATCTGTATTGTTAAAAGCGCTATATAAATGAAGGTTGACTTGACAGACACACACACACTCACAAACACAACACACACAACACACACATTGGGTTTTCACGTTTTATGGGGACATTCCATAGATAGACATAATGATTTTTACACTGTACAAACTGTGTATTATATTCCCTATAACCTACCCAACCCAACCTAACCATTGCCATCTTTGTGGGGACAAATGTTTTAAATATTGGGGAAATACACAATGGATGCTCTTTATTTTACAGTATGTGCACTTACGTGTACTACAGTGTACTTACCTAAGTACTGGCCCAGGGCAATAAGGTAACAACATGGGTTCAGGTTTTAAGGGTAGGTTCAGGGTTAGTACCTAGTTATTTCCCAGTTATTGTAGTTACTATAATACATACATAGCATGTACTTGGGGAACAGGACTGTAAAATCAAGTGCTACACAATCATATTGCATAATCTAAAATGTGCGCCATCATTGATCTTATACATGCAAAATATGTATATGTCTCCTGCAAGAGGAATATGTGGTGACTCCAAAGTTGATAGGGCAGAAGCTCAGCTTAACAATGCAATATCCTCTCATCACACCGGCTTTAGATCACAGAGCCCCCCCTCCCTATATCGAGTATGACACAGGGTGCAGATTAGTGTCTATGTACGTGGCCGTTCTCTCCTCAGTGCATCATCAGAATGAGCCCAGCTGCCTGGGGAGAACAGGCGTTTCTTTGTCAAGACTCTGACTCACTTTTGGCCTGTCCTCAGTGACTCTGTGTTATCCGCCTGCTCCGTTGAGCCCCAGAGTGAGGTTAAAAAGACAGAGGAGCAAAGAGCTGTATCTAATATTCTAGTGGGGTGTCACGGCACCCTCTGGTCGTTCCATTACCCACCGCAGCACTTGTGTATTAATGGCTGCCGTAGATAGTTTTTTTTTTAAGACAAAGGTCGTTATTTCCTGTTAGTTCCTCTCTTTTGCTTTGAAGTGAAAGTTTATTTCACAAAAAGCCCTGGCATCTTAGGCTGAGTACACACTGTGCAGTTTTTGCCACAATTTGGCCAACTGGGACACATTTCAGGATTTCTTTCATCATAGAGCAAGTTTCGTGTTTAGGCATTGCACATTAATTTTGATGGCCACATTAACAGGGAACATCATTCACATTGCCTGCATAAGTGATGCTGTGGAGCAGGAACATAAGCATAGATGCAACAAGTACGGCACTGAGTCTATTTTCACCACACATATTAACTAAGCACTAAACTTAACAGAAAATACATTGGCAATGCATTATAATCCTGTTTAACAACAATATTTTGCATTACGGAATTATTGCAAATTGCTAAATTATCCAAATGTATTAATAAATAAATAAATAATAAATAGTATATAACAAGAAGACTTCAAACCATATGTTTGTGTTTTAATGAAAATGTCCCCCAAAGAACCCGATTTTAAATTTACTATTGTTATTAATAAGTGCTTAATTCTGCAGCCATGTTGTGTTGAGCCACTCATCTGAGCCATACATATAATTTGACTAATTACTTGATGCAAATAATTCTAGACAACATGAAATTATGATTTTCCTGACTAGTTATCTAGATGGCTAGACTGACAGACAGAAAGGATGATAGACAGAATGATAGACAGAACGATAGGATGATAGACAGAACGATAGGATGATAGACAGAACGATAGATAGATAGACACATAGATAGACAGACAGATAGATGGATGGATGGATGGATGGATGGATGGATGGATGGATGGATGGATGGATGGATGGATGGACAGAACGACAGAACGACAGAATAACAGAACGATCGATATAGATAGATAGATAGATAGATAGATAGATAGATAGATAGATAGATAGATAGATAGATAGATAGATAGATAGATAGATAGATAGATAGATAGATAGATAGATAG